AAGAAAGAAAGAAAGAAAGAAAGAAAGAAAGAAAGAAAGAAAGAAAAAAACTTCCTACTCAGCTCACAGCCCAGGAGAAAGCCAAAAGCTCTTTCTTGTTTTACACATTGCCTTAAATAACTTTCAACTCAAAGTCCCTCCTTTCTGTTTAACTCCTGACAGCTGGTTACTTGCTCTGCCTCTTGAGCCAGGGTTAACTTAATTTATTCCTATTTACAGAAAGCTCTTGGACTAAAGGTGTTTGCTAGGGCTGTGCCATACCACAACCACCTGTTTGCAACAAACAGACAATTATTGAGCTCCAGAAAGCTGTCCCTGCCTGTCACCAGCTACAGTACTCAGGAGAGCAGGTCCTGTACCTAGCCTGGACAAAACAGCAGAGCTGACCCTGGTGATGTGGGGGCAAGTATGCCAGGTCCAAGGGCAAGAGCAAAGGAGAGCTGGCCTCCATAGTGCGGATAAGGGATATGTCCTGCTTCACCCAGACTTGTCACCTTCTGTAGTTGAAAGAATTGACCCCAGGGCATGAAAGCAGTAGAGCTATCTCTTTCTTCTCAAGGGCTGTAGCTCTTAGGCCTTGCTTAGCATCATACTTTGTTCATACTTTGCAATGAACATTTGCAAGTAAAGATGTAATGTGGAACACATTGTGACATACTACAGCTTCCATAATGAAATGTTTTCTATGATTTATTTTGTTATTGTTTGTTTGTATATGTGCGTTTACTTTTGGAGGAGGTTGCAAATACCAAAGGACAGATATGAATGGATGGGGAGATGAGTTTGGAACTGGGTGCCTGATGTGAAATTCACAATAGACCAATGAAAAGTTTTTTGGTTTTTTTTGTTTTTTTTTTCAAAAGCATATTGGACTACTTTCCCAAACTAGATGCACATTTTATAACTAATTATTGTTCTTATTTTTTTATACTTTACCTTACAAAGAGAACTCTTAAGCAAAGAAGACTAAAACTACTGTAATTCAGAAATAGTGGTCCATTACATAACTGCACCTTATAATTTACTAAGGAAGTCATTCTCTCCATATTCAAACTGTCTTATCTTTTGAAGGAAGCCTGAAATATTTGTTTATCCGATTGAATATGAGTTTTCTCATTTATAGTGAAACATTTACTTTCCCTAGAGTAACTATAATGCATTTTGTTACAGCTCTCTGTTTCAAATGTCAAGATGTTGAAACAGTCTGTTCTTTCAACTATCCTTCTTGTAAAGTTTTATCTTCAATAAAACATATATAGTTGCTCTCATCCACGTGATATGTAATAGTTTAATAATGTTATTCTAATTTTATTGTTATTCTATTCATATTTAGTACATTAGAGCTAACAATTTGCTCTATGGTAAGTTGTCATGGAAAATTATAATTTTTAAAGACATTAAAACAGTACCTCTGTTCACACATAGTCTTTTTACCATATGACCTCATCACTCTATCTAAAGGAGGTATTTACATATTTTGCCTTGCCTCTAGGTGGGATGATGCCTTAATGAAAAGAGTATAACAAAAATGATAATGTACTACATCTGATATCAGATTATCCAAAAAAAATAAAACAACTTCGATCTAGTCCTCTCCAATGGAGTTGGCTCCTGGAATCCAGTACCATAAGGAGGCTTAAGACACCAGTCATGTTCCAGAAGATAATCACCATCAGCTCTCAGATATATTAGAAAGCCCTCAAGATGACTCCAGCTCACCCATGTCTGTTGTCAGTCTGTGGATGATGCCTAACTAAACACAGTCAGTTTCAAGCACAAGACAGAGAATAATAGCAATTGGCTGCTGTACTATCCTTCACTAACTTTGAAGGCAATTTGGTAACAGCTCCTGCCAGAACAGCAGGCTGCCACTATAATAAACCCAAAACCACATGGTGCTTCCCTTGGGAAGGGAAGGAAACAGAAGCGGAAAGTCTGTGAAACTATTAGCAGAAGCCCAGAGAACTTGAAAATTTCTAAGACAATTCTGAAGAAAGTGATCTGAAGAAAGTGAGAAAGTATAGAAAAGAAAAGACTACTTAATAGCAGAGAGGTCAGCAAACTATTACCCAGTATAATAAAATATACATGCAATATGTATAAATACTACATAACTATTACATTATATGCAACATTCCATGGCTTCATAGGAAATGAAAGTTAAGTGAAAGAATGAATACATAGAAAGGAATAAGGACTTGTAGAGTTGACAGTATAATATTTCTTATTTTAATCTCTGCATCACAATAGATTCGCAAATTAATAAATAACTTCTCAATTAAGCACAGAACCATCAGTTCTCCCAGAAACATTAAATGTGGTTGAAATACAAAGGGAGAAACTGTAATGGCCTTTTCTAAGGACCTCAGAAAAAGCTAATGCCGACTACGCTTTCCAGTAGACATCCAAATAAATTCACCATTTAAGAATCTCAAAGGCATGTATATTAAATTAGGCTTCTCAGACTTCTAGAAATGTTGTTTCATGGGAATCTCAAAACAAAACAAAACAAAGAAAACATTTTTAAACTAAAAATAGAAACAAAAAAAGTTACAACAAGAGAAAGAAAGACTCTAACCAAAGAAAGTTAAGATAGATCTTTTTATAATGGATTAACCTCCAAAAATACAAGACCTGATACATTTTCAAGGCAAACAAAAAATACTGAATACTGTCACTGGTAACTAAAATTACAGATATTAGAAACTAAAACAGCCTAAGACTCTTGAAGTGTGATGAGAAAGGAGTTGTCTAAGTAAACAGATATCAGTGATTTTTAAAATAATTGGCAGTACTGACTAAAGCCACAGGAAACCAGAAGATGAAATTGTGCAAAAAATCCTGTGTGTGTGAGCCCAACACAAGGAACAACTCACAAACTGTATGTCAGAACTGCTATATTCCAGGCAGTTCCACAGGGTCCAATACCACCCACCTTCTAGACATGAGTCATTCTCTTTCCCCTCATAAATGTTTATTGGGTTCTATGTTCAGAGTAATTTGCCTTTAAAAAAATTATTAATGTAAAGATCTACAGGAAGAGCCCCCTCTCCCTACTAAAAACAAAGAAAGGATTAGAGAAAAATGTATCCATAAAGTCTTTAGTGCACTTCAACTTGCTTTTGGTGAACTAGAGGCTGTGGCAGCAATAGGATAAAAGCTGAGTGTGTGTAGAAGGGTTAAGTGTATTTGTCATTCTAGAGCAATGTGAATTCTTCTGTTCAGAAGAAATACTCAGGGAGATTTCCTTTTACAAAGAGATTGTGACAATATCTTCCAGGCTACATGTACTGCTTAGAATATGGCCTTGGCATGAGACAGTAGCCCTTGACCTAATTTAACCTTCATTGTACTCATAATGCAAAATATATATATATTAATAGAAAAGAAAGTATGTTTAGATTTCTGAAGATATTGGTTCTACAGTTGATCCTAATTTTATAGCATTATTAGACCTCAAACAAATACTTTTTAACCTTTCTAGTGCATAGTTCATCAAATGCAACATGGAGGGCTTGAATTTGGATAGTTTAAGCTCTGGCTTTCTGGCCTGCGGAGGGTTCTCTTGTAGTCACCGGGGAGCAGAGCTGCAGAGGCTGCTGGTCTTCATCTCAGCGAGGACAGATTTTCTTTCATCTCTTTTACATTTAGGACTTTGACATAGAATTTTATTTGAAGAAAGACTTATACAGCTTTAAAAAGTGAAGCTAAAAGCAGTGGTTCTTTGATGAGGCGTAGTGTTCCTTTCAACTGCAAAATTCTGAGAGTCCTTTGTTTTGCCAAGCAGATAAACCATCTAATCCAATTACTTTTAAAAATGATGCTTTATCCTCCTAACCTATTAGGGAAGGTCAAAGAAATCAATCTGCTACCAAAAATAGTAGTAGAAAGAATAAATGGTTCACCTAATGTTGTTTGCTGATTGCACTGCAGACACACGTGGAAGGCCATGAAAAATGGCCAGCTCTGAAATGAATTCCAAACAAGTAGAATAATATGAGGTTATTTTTAAAGTGTTATTCATTTCTATAAAATATGAGAAAAAATTTATGGATGTATTTAATATGTATTTATCTTTTGTTTTAGAAACTTACCAAACTCTTCTTCCCATTTCATTAGAATATGTAAACTCCTATGAGAGAGACTACAGAGAGAAAGCCATGTTGTATGTTTTGTCAGAATTTAACTATATTTGTTGTTATGAAAAGAAAGAGATGCAAATGGATCAGAGATTTTTTGACAAGGGGTCTAAAGAACAGTAAGTAGCAAATAGA